ACTCTTACTTGGTCATAATTTATTATACTTTTGAAACGCTGTTGAGTTCTACTGCTAATAATTTCTTTTAAATTTAGATTCTATATTCATGACTGCTTTCCCCTGCCTTCTTCCCCTGGGATTCTGTTAAGGCATTTGAAAATTTCCGTTCAATTTTATATTTGTAACAAGAATCCTTATTCAGCAATTTTTGCATTTAAAACAATTTTGCATTTAAAACTTAAAACCATTTAAAACAAGAGAAAGAGAGATTTATTGTTCATTATTCTTTTCTTTCTCCTTGATTTTCTATCTTGAAGTCACTATTTTCTGAAAATTTGTGGAAGAGGAGAGGCACAATAAAATTCAAATATACCTTACAAATCTGATTAAATCTACTAATAAAATTAATTTTGAGTGTCTTGCTAATTAACGAATATTGTATGCCTTTTCCCCAATAATAGATCATTCCATTTTTTCTTCTTAAATCAGGGAAAAATCGGTATCAAATTGCAGGGTAGAATCAAAAGAAAGTTGAGCTTAGGCTTGGGTTCAGTTTCTGAATATACAATCTTATGACCTATGTGACTTTGGGCTGAACCATATTAAATTAGTTTCTTCCTCTATAAATAAGCATAATAATACATACTACACAGAGGTCATTATTTATGAGTATTATATTATAAAACCTGTGTTAAGTGTCAAACATCATAGTGAAAAAATGTGTGTGAATGATTAAGAGTTTTTCTCATGGACAAACAGAATGTTCTTTCAAGTGGCCAGGCAAAGGGTACTGCTTTCATCAAGGAAGAGCCCTAAGAACTTAACAAATGCCGTAGAGAAATACTGATAAACAAAGAAAGGAAATGATATAATAACTTCCAGAAAATGAAAATAATTTTAAACATCAAGAGCAAACAAGTTAGACTTTTTATAATTTTGCTGGTGTTCAAAGAATTTAAAAATTCGATGTTTTAATTTAAATATGATTTTAATGAAATTATATGTCTTATAAAAATTATACCCATTGTACACACATGCACACACACTCTACAGGAGTGTACAAAAACATGCATGCTATGCTGAGTAAACTAATCAAGTGATTTTTAAGCATACAGTGAACTATACCTTCAGTGTGCTTTAACTATGTGGTTAACTATATACATTATTACACATTACCAATTAAAATATTACTTATGTAGGCATGAAATTCCTTTTCAGTTTTGTTGACTGTTTTTAAATAATTATGTATAAGGAAATTCGAAAAAATTATTTTTAAAACTCTTGTTATTAGAGCACCTGGCTGCCTCAACCAGTAGAGCACATAACTCCTGATCTCAGGGTTGTGAGTTGAAGCCACACGCTGGATGTAGAGCTTACTTCAAACAAAAAAAATAAAATTTTGCAAACTCTTATTATTTTAATCTGATTTAAAGTTCCAGCTTCAGTTTCAATATATCTGCTTTCTGCAAAACATATTTCTAGTACAGATCCTACTCCCTCTCTTATTATGAAATAATCTAACTTGGGAAATCACATTTTCATGTTTCTACTATCATTTTGAAGAAAAAAAATATGATCAGTGCATCTCCTCTGAATCGTCCTTCATCTTGTTTCAGAATTCTATACATTCACCTAACCACTGGGTAAATTTTCTTATTGAAGAATAACAACTACCATTTGTAATTAAAAACACTGAAGTAAATATTAGGCTTACCTAAAATTCTTGTAATAACTATTTACATGATGATTCTGAATATTGTCTCAAAATTCAGTTTGATTTCGAGGTATGTTTCAATTCATGACAATCTCACTTGTAAATGTTGAAATCCCCAGTCAAACCACCTACTGACCTTTAGAGATGAGAAAAACAAACTAACAAACTACCTGATACCTTTTTCCTACTAACCCTAGAAAACTAATAGGACAGCATGGACTTTGTACAGCCAAACAGTTTCAACGTATAAATGTCTCATAACATGGGATCAGCATGAGGCATGTTTTTCCATTACATCTTTAGCAGAAGGTTATCTTTACCACAAAGATCATTTTAATCTTCAATAAGGTGTCATGGTGGCTCTCTGGAGGCAATAAAAATAACCACAATTTTTAAAAAAAGTTATCTGACTTCAAGCTACATTCACAGACTAGAACATTAAGTAATATTATCATTCTATCTGTTACAGTTAATTCAGTCCCATTAACTGGGCCTGGGTCTATTACCAGTTGCACTTGGGTTACTTTTTTTTTTTTTTAAATATAGATGCCAGTGCCTTATCTAAGAGAACCTGATTATATAGATCTAGAGTTTTTCCCTACAACCTTCAAAGGGGATGCCAAGGTACAGCCATGTTAAAAAAAATTACTGTCCTGTGCCTTCCATATCTATCATCTATAATATAATGAGAAATGTGAAGGCCAGATTATATCCTCAAAGATTAACAATATTCACTTTCGAAAATTTACTATGGTAGTAAGATTGGAATAGTACTTTTTAGAGCAATGAAAAATTAAATGGCACAAATATTCCTATTTATTTAAACATCATAAAACAAACCAATCAGTTAAGCCCTCAAGTGCATTCCAGGTAAACATGACATAAAAGTCCAAGGGTAATGTACTAAAGAGAAAAATTAGGAACATGACCTTTTTTCAAAACAGATCTATTTTCTCATTGGTTCACTACACAATGGTTGTATTTTATTTCCACAAAAAATGTACTCTATATAGAAAAAAAAAGAAAAAAGAAAAAGAAAAACAATTATTCTGGAAAGCATTTTCTGAAATATAAAAAAATATTTTTTCCAGGAAACTATTCCAGCATTCGATGCCACAAACCCAAGAGAATAAAAATAGATTTGGGGGGAGAACTTTACTGGGAAATACACAAAAATAATCGAGTGAGATAAAACACTTTTATCCTATGTTGAATTATACACTTGCTTTACATTTTTGTTGCTAATGCTGTTAATGCTTTGTTGTTACTGTTATGTTAAAATATAATACTTTAAAATGTTAATCTTTCTCCCATTTGAACAATTTGCTTGAAAAATGAAACTGATATTTGCTTCTATCTTTCCACAGTATTAAGAAACATTATTAAACATAGATGTCTGATAATTTGTTGCCATAATTAACAAAATACAATGGACCCAAAAACCAGCAGCATGTGGTAGTCAAGTGGTAAGGCTATAGCAAGTTACAAAAATTAGATGTTCCACTTGCCGCCTGCATGGTTTTGGGTAATATTCTGGAAATGAATGTATTAACACCTCGTTACAAAATTATTAGAGAGGTTAAGATATTGTGTGTAAAACTCTTAGCATAGTATCTAATTCTTAGAAACACTTAACAAATCATAATCAGAATAATGATAATCTTGATCTCTCTCTCCCTCCCTGCCCTCTCTGAAACTAACACCTCTAATTTTTTACACCTGGGTAAGTTTTTGTGATACATAAGCCCTAAAATATAATAATCCTGAACAATATGGAAGAAATAAAAATAATTTCCCAATATGCCAGCTACAAAATAGCTCAACATTAATTTCTTCATTAAAATAGAGACATTAGGTGGAAATTCCCTAAAGAATCTTCTTGAAAGTTTCAAAATCTCAATTCATAGATTTTTAACAATAACAACAAAACTACACTTCTCTAGGATTTTTATTCGTATAAGAAAAACAACAAAACCATCTACCTCAAGGGAAATAAGCTTACTGTCTCATCACCACAGCCAAAACAGTATGTTGATAGCCCCAGCCTGGCAATGACAGATCGCAATAAGGAGCCTCGATTCACTACGTCATTTAACCCATTTTTCAGGATCTCAGCACTGATTTAGAAGCCTCCAAAAGCCAAGACAATCCAATTTTGATCATGAATCATCACTTCAAATTATTAGTCCAAAAAGGTAAATATTTAATTATTTAGGATCAAAAAATCCTATAGGCAATGGATTCTTTTTAATGATTAATCACAGAAAGATACACACACAGTTTAGAGTTAAAAAGCATGTTTAATTTTATCACCTGGAATATCCTTCCAAATGCATAGTATACAATCAAACCTCGTATTAATAGGCATAATTTGCTTTCTATGCCACCACTTGAAATAATTTTTCAGAGTAGACTATGTGCCTTTATGATGTTCAAGGGCAAAAGTATACCGCTTAAATCTATAAAATGTGTTATTCTTTGATCACTTATCTTTATTTATCAGAATATTTCTTAATAGCTCAAAATTGGCATATTACTTTACACCACCACATAAAAGTGTTCTGAACTACTGCTAAATATATTTTAAATATCAACTAGGCTTTATCTATAAAATGATACATAGAACAGAAATGTTTTCTCTATAATGGTCTACTGGGTAACTAAATTTAGTATTTCAAAAAATACATTAATTTAATATTTATAAATTGATAGGACTATAGATAGCATAATTAAAATTGTTAACTGTAAAAAGGCACTGTATTTCTGGTTCTCTGGAAAAGATTTTTATTCAGTTACTTCCATTCCTAGCTAAGTTCTAGGTTTCCATTTTGTCCCCAAATCTTATGTCTTTAGATCTATTGTCTCTATACTTCTATCATCTTCCTATACCAGGTAACTATATCTGGTGTGTTTCATTTAAATGCATCCTTGCTCATACCCACTAGCTCTAAAATGTTTGCATTCCTACTATTTGAATTTATATAATTTGATAGTGCTCCATTATCTACCTGCTATCAAAACATATAATATGGCAACAATCAAACACAATAGACTGGTAAATTGCTCACATAGGGATATAATACACAAAAGCCTTCAAAAAGGACATTCAAAACTAGAATGTCTGTTCTCCTGGCCCTCTACTACTACTGTGCTGAAATTAGAGAGAATTCCATTCATAATCTGTCACTGAATTTATCTCTAAAATGACATATACACATGCTGTCGATTAATGTATTTGAGAATCTCTACATGACAAATTTCTGATATTTCCTATTATGTATGTACAATCCTAACAGATACATACCTATGTCATATGCCAGGAAATCGGCAGAAAAACATTTTGCACCGTTACTCAAGGAAGTGTCATTATGGGTATTTCCTCCAAAAATAAGCATAGCTCCATTGATAAGAACAGCTGAATGAAGGTATCTGGCAAACCCACTTTCTTTCAAAATAGTCCTACAGGATAAAATTTAAAAATGTATTACAAAGGATAAAAAGACCTCCCTGATTTTATATATATTATATAGAGGGTCTAACTTGCATATAGAATTTTCCTTAAAATTGTGAAAATAACATGCTTTATTTTTTAACAACTCATAAATGGCCTCTAAATTTCAATATTTTTGATATTTTGAGATTCACAGTATATTTAAATGCTTTGAGGAAACACAATATTAAACATAATTGTTCATGATTTATAATAATTTATATTTTGAACTTTTATTTCATTTATAAAAGTAGGAAACAAGTGTCCTCAAAACAAGAGGACCAAAGTACCACCACTTTTAAATACTAAAGTAAATAGAATGTTGAATATAATAAATTCACTCTCAAATGTATTCAGTTAAAACTCGTAATTCATATGGAATCATAATACACTAAGTTCTTATTTAAATATAACATGCATAAAAGCGCACCTAAGTCTAAAATTCAATGAATTTTCACAAGATGAACACAACTAAGTAAACACTACTGAGATCTTTTTTTAAAAGAATATTACCACTATTCTCATTCTTCTGTGGCTCCATATAAATTTTAGGATTGTCTGTTGTATTTGTATCATTTTCTTTGTGCTTTATAAAATAGAATCATATAGCTTATATTCATTTGTGTGTATATTCTTTTGCTCAAGATTATTTTTGAGCTATATCCATATTCTTGTGCAAAATCACAATGCATTTTTAGAAACATTAATATAAATGTTCTTTTAATGAAATATTAACTAAGATAAAGTACTATAAATATATCATCACAATTATATTTCACTTTAATGTACTGCTGTATAATAGAACTGCTTGACAATATGAATCAATACTTGGTAAGTAGTCTAAAATGAAGCACTCGTACTAAAAAAGAATCAGAACATAAACCTAGTACGATATAGTACAGTAAGTATATATGTCAAAAACCTATAGCAATTAATGCCTAATGAATATGGAACTGACTTCCAGAATGGCAATATGAGAAGTTCCACAAACTGTATATAGGAAAAGAACTATAATTGGTAAAAGTTAAAAAACATTTAAGTTATCAGAAATATTAAATTTTTAAAGTTTATTTCTTAAGTAATCTGTACACCCAACATGGTGCTTGAACTCACAACCCTGAGATCAAGTTGCATGCTCTTCCGACTAGGTGAGCCAGGCACCCTACAACCAATTAATATTTACTGAAAATATCTACTAAATCTCAGTAAGAACAGCAGCAGTCCATGATATTTGATCTATTATCTGCTCCCATCCTTCCTCATGTCTGCACCCTCCCCCACCACACACACACACAACAAGTTCAACAATAAGTAAGTTGAACCCCAGGTGGGTAAATAACAGAGAACTGCTTCATTCCTCAGTTCCTAGTCCAGGCCATGGATATGTACCCAGGAAGAACAGACAGACAGCCCCCAGCTATGGTGGTAGAGGCTCCATTCAAAGAGAAAGCAGGAAAGGGCTGAATGCTCATCCTCTTCCTCACCCTATAGAGTATAAGCTATACATCAGGCCTAGCAGACCAGGAGGGCCAATAACTCTTTACCCACACCAGACACAGGGTAGAAATCACATGCAAGCTGAGAAGAGCAAAGGCCTCCATCCCCTTCTAGTGCCCTGCACATAACACAGTATTATCATTCCAGAAGGGACAAGCCACTAACCCACCTACAATTCGAAAGTAGTGGCACTGTCGTCTCACCCTGCCCCACACCAGGGAGAAGCAGACTGAAAAAAAGAGAGTGCCAGAGCTCTCCTAAGGGAAATGAGTTTATTTGTAACAAAAGGGGAGAAACTTCAAGCCTAAAGGGCACTCAAGAAAACAATGGAGGTTTTGACTGTAAGCAACTGAGACCGCTGGCAGCTCCAGGCGAACAATAAGCTTAAACGAAAGTTCACCAGAGAGAAGCAGGGAAAAGACAGCTAAGAAGAATCCCTAAGACTAGCCTCATAAGGACTACCCCTGAAAAATGATGGAAACTGAATTCAAACGGACTATGAAGCAATGTATGCCCCAGAGCATTGCTGAGAATTCTACGCAAGCAGTCAGCAGTTAGTGGTGACAGGCACCTGGGTGGGATACACTCAGACAGCTCACCAGAGGGGTCAGAGGGAAAAGTGCAAGAACCCTGCTTAAACTACCATCACCCACGGGTGATCTGGGGCATTCCCCGGCTGCTTCCATGGGGTAGCAACATCAGAGGACCCACTGGAGAAAGAAAAAGACTTCACTGAAACAGTTCAGCCAAGTCACTAAGTAAATAAAAGTCAATAAATAAACAACAGGGGCGCCTGGGTGGCTTAGTCGGTTGGGCGTCCGACTTTCGCTTAGGTCATGATCTCGCGGTACGTGGGTTCGAGCCCCGCGTCAGGCTCTGTGCTGATTGCCAGCTCAGAGCCTGGAGCCTGTTTCAGTCTGTGACTCCCTCTCTCTCTGACCCTCCCCTGCTCACGCTGTCTCTCTCTCTCTCCTAGAAATAAATAAAAATATAAAAAAAAAGAAAAAAGAAAATAAATAAATAAATAAATAAATAAACAACAGTTCCAGAAAAGGAGGAAGAATCAGGACCCAGAGTTGCTACAATATATTATCTAAAATGTCCAGCTTTCAGAAGAAATTATGACAGGCAACGAAACAAGAAAAAGTAACTATACACACAGAAAAAGCAGGCAACAGAATTGCTTTCGAAGCCTCAGATGTACAATGAAGCAAAATGACTTCAAAGCAGCTATTATAAATATGTTCGGTCAAGGAAAATATGGCAATTCCTTATCAAATATAAAACAACAAAGGTACAGAAATCACCAAAATGTTCAAAAGTATAATTAAAATTTTTAAATTTATGAGAAGTAAATAGTAAATTTCAGCAACCAGAAGAAAAAAAATCACTGAAGTAGAAAATAGAAAGAAAGAGACTGAACAACCTGAAGAACAGAGATGATAATGAAGAGCCTGCAGAAATGGGGAGTGCTATTAACAGTCACAACATACATTTACTGAGAAAACTAGTGCAGAGGAGAGAGTGGTAAAAATTTTTCAAGAAATAATGTCTGACAACTTCCTAAATTTGATGAAAAACATTAATGTACACTTCCAAAAAGCTCAATGAAATCCAAGCATGAAAAAAAACCAAGGAAGAGCCACACTCAGATATGAAATAGTAAAAAATGCTGAAGACCACAGAGAAAAGGAAAATCATAAAAGTAGCAAAAGGATGGCAATGCTTTTGCATACAAGGGAAACCCAACAGGACATAGAGCGGCGTTCTAAACGATAACATATGCAAACATATGCAAAGTGCTGAATAAAAAAAAAAAGTCAGAATATAGGGACTGGTGTAGAATGATGAAATAAGAGTTTTCTGACCTCGTCCTCCCACAAAAACAGACTTTATCAGCTTATTCAGGGACAAGAGTACCTTTGTAGGAGCCCAGAAGTGCTGAGAGAAGTCCCACGTCACTTAGAGCAAATCTTCCAAGAAAAGGAGGAACAAGGGGGTGAGAAGAGCTTCCCATCACCACATCGCCTCTCCCCCAAGGCAAAACAGCTCACACCCAAGAGAAACTCCTTCAACCGACAATTACTCCCACGGGGGAAGTGAGAGCATAGTACGTGTCCAGCTGCCACAGCCAAGTGGGAGTATGTTCAGCTAGACCACTTCTTTCTCATCCGATCCAGAACTATGAGAGGATTGGCAAAGGAAGAAAAAGGGCACTCACAGGGACGAGGGCACAGAACTCAGCAAAGAGCCAAGGTTTCTACTAATCACCTCATGAACTCCACCAAGAGGCCCATCCACGAACTTCATAGGATACATCACCTGCAAACATACCCCAAATAGCACAAACATGTCCCCAGCAATCCATAAATCCCTCCCCCATGTAGCTCACTTGAGCTTCTGCAGATGGTTCATGAGTACACACACCTGGCTCAACCCTGTTGCACTGGTAGAAGATGCATAACCCTGAACACTCCAAGCACTGCCCAAGGGAAGAAAATGGGAGGCCCTCAGCACTGGGCGTGGCTTTGCAGAATAGAGAAAATATAATATCCAAAATATATAAAAACTCATATAACTCAACAGAAAAAAGAACAATCCAATTAAACAATAGACAAATGATGCTGAATAGATATTTTTCCAAAGAAGACATACAGACTGCCATGACATAAATGAAAAAGTGCTCAACATTCCTAATTATCAGGGAAATGCAAATGAAGCCAAAATGAGATATCATGTCACACCTATTAGAATGGCTATAATAAAAAGACAAGAAATAACAACTGTTGCTGAGGTTGTGGAGCAAAAGGTGGGAAAGTAAATTGGTTATAATCAGCTCGGAAAACTGTACAGAGCTTCCTCAAACAATTAAAACAAGGACTACCAAGAGCTATCATATAATCCAGAATCCCCGCTTCAGGGTATATGTCCAAAGGAAATGAAATCAGTATCTCAAAGATATATCTGCACTCTCATGGTCAATGAAGCAGTATTCATAGTAGCCAAGATGTGGAAACAACCTAAGTGGTCAACAAAATAAATGAAGAAAATGCACATAAATATAAATATTTATTATAAATATAAATATAATTATATATTATAAATATAAATATATAAATTAAATATATCATGTATTATATATATTATAAATTTATATATATTATATAAATATATATTATAAATATATATAATATAGTTCCACTTTTTAAAAGCAGGAAATTCTGCCATTTACAACAACATAGATGAATCTGGAAAATATTTTTTAATGTGTACTTATTTTTGAGAGAGATAGAGAGTATAAGCAGGAGAGGGCAGAGAGAAGGAAGATGGGGGATCCAAAGTAGGCTCTGCACTGACAGAAGAGATCCCAATGTGGGGCTGAAACTCTCAAACCACAAGACCATGACCTGAGCTGAAGTGGGACACTTAACCAACTAAGCCAACCCAGGTGTCCCTGAATCTGGAGAATATT